GAAAACCCTCTCTCCCCAGGATACTCTGAGCCCCTCTGTGTAAGTCAGCTGTTTATATATTCTTGAAATAATAAACCTAATCAAGCACACTAACACTACAATATTGACCTAGATATAAATGTGGTAGCAGTTGATTATACGTTGTCATAAAAGACTCGTGTTTGTTTTGGCGGAGCTGAGCAGCAACACCTTTCTTTAGCGCAGTTAATTATTAAGCAATGTCTACAGACGAAAGCACTCCTGTTACACATGCTCAGGTGTTGATCCTCAGGCTCATATTTTGCAAAACATTTATCCATCCAAACAAGTTTTAAATGCAGAGAAATAAGACACCCTGAGATCCTGCTTCAGGAGTGAAAAGTTTGCTTGTTAAGTTCAGACTCTTTGAGAAGTACTGGAGCACTCAGCATTATCAGGACATCTGACCAAACTCCCCCAGGAGATGGGCCATGCAGGCCGCCTGCCCATCCAATTAGCTTAAAGTGGAGAGGGCTGAGTGCCCAGAAGAAATGTTGCTGTTCACCTTCAGATCTACCACTCTCCCAATTAAATTAATGGAAGTTTTTTTTTTTTTTGTCTCACACTCTGTTCACTAAAAAATACAAGATAATACAGAAAACTAATGCTGAAGAGACAGTTGATAGTGTTTATTCAACAAGGACTCAGGTGTCAAAGTCTCTGATGCAACACATGTCATAAAACCACAACTCTCGGCTGACTTCTTCCCTGGGTGTGTTTGTTTCTCTCTACAGTACAGCTCCAGCCGTCCCTCTTCGACTGAGACTGCCCGGCTGGGCAGCAGAAACAACAGCATGTCCTCCCACACCAGGCCTGAGCGCGACCACCGACCTTTGTCGCAGCGCTACTCGTCCCCCCAGCACGGCTCCTACCTGCAGCCTGCAGAGAGCTCGGTGCTGTCGCAGATCTACAGCACGCCTTACTCTGGCCTACATCGTATCAGCCCACAGCGGCTGGAGAAGGCCCCACTTGTCAAGGTAATTCAGTCTGGCGTCTTAACTTGATAACCGAATATTCCCTTTGAGACTGTTGACTTATTTTACATGTCATGTGCACAGCAACTAAAATAGACACGGCGAGCAGTAGGCTGGAGGGGTCATCATGTGTATGGTGTTAACAAATGGAGTTACGTTGGCATTTATGTAAACTGAGGTTGAAAGATCGAACTACTTAACGGTGCAAAGAATTAAATCTCTATTATAAAAACGTTTACTATATTTAGCGCCTATCTCTACTGCTCCACTGTTCTGGCAGTAATCCAAAACCTAATTTAGTAATCAGATCATAAAGCCCAATACTATTTGTGGATTATGTAATTGTTTACTGTGTCTATCACTTGAAGTGTGACAAATAGAAAGACGGAAGGAAACTATGATTGATTTGTCTTTCCTCGCGTGGTGTAAACTAACTCTCGGTTCTGTCTGAACCCTCAGTCTAACAGCTGGAGCACTCCACAGACGTCCCTGAGCTACTCCCTGCACACCCCCCAGCGCCACTCAGACATGTGCGCCCCACGACAACCCTTGTCGCCTCTGTATGATGAGCCCTGCAGCCCTGAAATCTACTCGCTGGATGAGGCTAGGCCGATGGTAAGTGGGTCAACGATACTGGATCCATTGCTTCAATTTACACCTGCACAGCCTGTGTGATATCAAGCAGTGCAAACACACAAACACGTACACACATACGGCTTTGGTCAAGGTGATAGATGCTTTTTGTCTGTCAAATCTTCCACTTTTTTTTATTTTTTTTGGTAAAATCACATCAAAGCAGCCCCATTACAAAACATGCATTGCCAAATTTTGCCATACATGGGTGAAACCTAAACTCCTGCTTTACAAGCTTATAGCTGCCCTTCTCTGACGTGTCCCATTCTGTTCTTTTAGCAGCAGAGCTGGCACGAACCCATCCACCTCCAACACCACCAGCAGGAACTCCTGCCCTCCTCCTTCCAGCTCCACACCCCTCCAATGGGCAGACGCTGCAGGAGAAGCCTGGTCCTGACCAACTCCCAGGGTCAGGCTCTGGGCCTGGAGATGGAGATGCCTCAAAACCAAGTAGAGCAGAGAGCCGAAGCCGTGGCAAGGCTAAAGCTGCTGCCTCTGCCCAGCCAAGTGCCAGAGCAGGTGAGAAGCACAGATATGCTCATGTCTCAGGACACTCCGGTTTCTTGGAATGCTGTGGTACAAAGTGAAATGCTACATGGTGGTAGAGCGAGTATATATACTTGTGCTGCAGGTGATATTTGAACAGGTGCTTCAGATGAAACACATATTTTAGGAAACTTGAGAGTGTTTGTTGTAGTTGATCGTGGGATGTAACTTTCTCTGTTTTCACATGTGTTGACAGATACTTCTCCCGTCGAGCTCTGCGAGGTTGAACGCTCAGATGCCATACGGTTACTCACCAGGTAAGAATTGAAAGCATGTGTTCACAAACCTGATGAAACATTTCTCTGTATATGTAGCGTGTGCCTGTGTGTGGTGTTCAAGTGTGTTCAAGCCCTAATAAAAACGTCTTTACCTTAAAGATGTTTGATCTTGTCACAAGCACAGTGTTATTTTCCTGGCAGAGCTGGATAAATTTATAGTTCTATGAAGCAACAATGGGCACTCTTTCAAATCTTAAACACTACAGGATCATATGTCCACAGAAGTGTGAGTTATGAAAGTCAGCACAGTGAGCTGCCTTCCTAAATACCACCAAGGACACAGAGCATTGCTTGCTCTCCATTACACCATAAATCTAACACTGCATGCACTTTGGATTGACTGAACTCTTCAGTCTGTCAGCAGGTAGACAGAAGGTCAAAGGTTACAGAATTGAAGGTGCAGCAAACGTGACAATGAAATGCAGCTTAGTGCAGCTTTGAAAGCCACTTGTGCAGACGTCCTCAGTGTAAGAGAACACTGTTCCACAGACCGGATTCACTCCTCTGCTGTGATCGACAGCACACAACTGCACACCTGAATCTAAAGGCGCTTTTATCGCATATAAAACAACGCCTGTCTTTATCTATTTGCAGATTATTTTTTAAATGTGCGATAAGATTGCGATTTCACTTGACAGGCTGCACGTTTTTATACTATCTGAATACAAATAGCAGGTGAAGGTGTGGTAGCAGTGGCATGCTACACTACTGGTTGTACAGTAACAGATTATATTTTGGGACAATGCAAATCACACTATGATTACTGTGGGACTGTGTCCAAGTTTATTCAGTCAGGGCGAGGTTTGTCTTTCACAGCTTGAAACTTAAAGCCTGGGAATCTTCTTTCGTCCTATAGATCACCATTCGTACCTTGAACCCACAGAACCAGATGACCAGGAAATGGACTATGATAACATTTGGGACTACGACTGTGATAGTGGAATGATTCAGCCAACGTCTGGAATTTCGACACACTGGACGGGATTAGACTTTGGGGCCAGAGGCCTTGGTGCCATGGCAACCCAGCAGAGATGGTCATAAAACAAAACAATAGCGCCGGCACCCGTCTGGACGTGTGCAAACAACAGATCTCTATCAGAGGGATAATAAAAGCCAACAAGCACAGCCGGTGTTGCTGCTGTTGTGTACAGTATGAACGGACAAATCCCAGGAACTGCTTTGTTAGGTGTGAGGTAGTGGAGCAGAGAATGCAGGTATGAAAGAAAATAGCAAGTAGCAAAACAATATGAAAGTGAAAAACAAAAAAATGTAGCATTCAAGAAGAAGACAGTAGAGCTTTAAGGTTATTTTTTTAATGTATTATACAACCGCACTGTTAAATATGTAGTATCTCTGATTTTCTAAGATGTAAAGGATTTTCTAACAGGTTGTCCATTTTACCTACTGTTATACACTTCCTTTTGTTTCAGATTAAAGCTATAAAAAGCATTCCATCAGGGCTTGTTATAGTAAAGAATGGATGTATATTTTTGTAAATGTTGTACATTTGTTGTGTTACACTAAAAGGCAAATAGATGTGGATTTAACTGACTGCCTTAAAGGTGCTAATATTACGATTAATACTGTACAGTACTGAAACCTGTGTGACTTTTTCCTTTTTTGTTTGAGGTGTTTATTTATATTTGAAAATAAAACTGTAAAAATATATCAACAAGTTTGTGTCTGCTGAGTTTTGTTCTAAATACAGTCTTGATACGAGTATGCATGGGAATAATGAACACCATAATGTATGTGTTTATTATTGCTATTATTCAGCTTTGCCTTTACTTTCTTTTTATTTGTCTGTTTCCCCAAAGTCAGTTAAGTTTTCCTTAATCCAGTGAATCATTGTGTAATCTTGCTCAAACCAGTTACTGTTAAAAATATCCAACCATGCCATTAAGTGTAATAATTACACAAATTGCGGACGCCACAGGCGGCAACATGCCTCTTTCCTCCATGTGTACAGAAAAATGTCAAAATCTGGTGTGATATTATTCAATATATGCACATATGCACCAGTTTGCCTATGGCTGTTAGACATGCTGCATTACTGCCCAGTTTTAAACGCAAACCAAAGATCCTTTTAATCGGTCAAGCATTACTTTTAAATCTATGTAGGATCTAGCACTGGTGTTTTAATACGTATTTAAATATTCATATGCACATACGGAAATGCATCAAAATCCAAGTGGGTGTTTGTGCTGTGAGGAGTAATGTCTGTTCCATTATACAACTCAACTTTGCCATCTGCTGGAGAAAAAAAAAGATCCTTCAAGAGAAATTCTTTGCAGTTTCTAATCTGAATACTTGGCAATAAAGTCACATAAGGACATTTTAATAATTTATTATGTTAATTAGTGGCCTGAACTAAAAGTCTAGGTCTACACTTACGTTTTTAGAATAAACAGTTTGTGTGAATCATTTGAAAACTGCAGCTTACACAGCTGTGGCTCTCCAGTTCAGGTTCTTACATTTACATTTAGTTTGTCGCCCCCTAGTGTTTAAAGGGTATGAGTGCGTTTTAAATAACAGACTCACAACACACAAGTCACAGACACAGTTTACTGTAGTTAATCTGAGAGACACAAACATCTCTGTGCAACCTACACGACAATAATGAACAGTCATCTATAAATGATCTATATGAAAATAAAATGCCCTGCACGGATACTGGCACAGAATACTGTCCCCGAAATATATGATATGTTTTTAAGGGAGTGTTGTTGAATTGCAATGCTAAATATTGCACCTGTGCAATACATTTGTGAAATAATTGCTAGAAAGAAACTTTGGATTTAAGAATCTGCAATAAAAAATTAACATAATGGAAACAAACAAGCTCATCAAGCACAGTCCTACATTCTGCCATTGCCTCAAGTTATTCCATTTATCACACACCCATCTATCATCTCAAGTCTGTACAGCTCTGAGTAAACCTGCCTCTAATCTCCCTCAAGCACATACTGGAACATTATTTACAGATATCTAAAGTCTTCTTTCACATAAATAAACATGTCTCATCTTGCCTTTGGTCATTTTATATATTATATGAATGCTTTCAGATGTTAAGGGGTCAAAGTAAAATAATTGAAATGGAGGTAAAAATGTTTATCTGAAGTTCAGGAGCAGCACCACACCTCAAACTCTGCCCTTCTTGCCTTATGCCCAAAAAAGCCTACCTATCCTGCACACCTGTTTGTTCTTGCCATGCCCCACCCTACATCCTTTTTCTTCTTCTGCCTCTCTCCTGTTTCTTTAAGGTGGGGGTCTGCCACTGATTTCTAAGGAAACCTTTCCACACTGCAACCGCTTATCTTACTTCTCACTTAAAAACAATCATGCACATCTGACTGATGATATGGTCCTTGCTCATGAACAAGAAGTCAAACAACTGTTATTAGGATGAATAAAGCTTAAGAGTGCCAACATGTAACAACACATCAAAATTCCATGAAGCACTCATGTCCTGCAACGGCTCATTTCAGGTCTTCGTGGAAAATTGAATCATTCCAATCATGACGTATTCAGAGCCAGAAGGAATCGGATCAAGAATTAGAAAGTGCAGCTTGGTGCAGTTTCGTCTCACTGGCCGCTGCCTTCACTTTGACGTACTTACGCAGGTATCGGATGGCTGACAGAGCGCTTACATTCGCGAGCAGAACTGTGATGACACAAACAAAAGTCATCACATTACTGACAAGACTTGAACTTCTTCTGATTTTTTTTATTGATGCATGGGTTTCTCTTCCTGAAGATGATGACTTTATTCTAGTGTTTTGGGAATTTTAGGCCACTATTTACTGATTTTGCATGCCTTACAGCCTGATCCTTGGAGTCCTGAAATGAACTCAAATGAATGGATTTCAATATCAAATTGAATTGCACGGCTAAAAACTGAAGTAGTGATCGAATAAACAGCTGCTTTGTAATTTCAGTTTTCAAAAAGCAAAATTTGCAGGTTTACTAATGTATTGAGGTACATGAATACAACAGATTATCACACATACCAGCCTTCCAGGCATCTCCAACTTGTGGGTTTGCAGTCTTCAGCACCCATGACGCAAATGCAATACAAACCAGACACATATCTGACTGTTTAAGGGGCAGCAGCGAGGCATCCAACCCTGCACAGACAGAAAACATCTTCAATCATTAAGCTGTTTACTAAAACACAACACACAAGATGATAACTATTCACAGATCTACGGAGAAGCCCACTGGGAGGTCAGGGAAATTATAATCAGTAATGAAATACCAACAGCTGTAGACAAGCTCCCAGTAATATGGTGGGACTTCCTCTTTTGTCGCACTGTGACCTGGCTACTGCCTGCACAGCTTAAACTTCTGCAAACAAACAAGGCTGCTTGATGCCACTGGTGTTTGAAATTGTGACTCTTGTGGCCTTAAAAATAATCCTTAACGATAAGCTCTCAACATTAGATGTCATATTTATGAGGTACTTTCTTATTAAAGTGTACTGGAGTTGGAAGAAGAGGAATTTACATATGCATAAAGTGTCTTCAAGACAAGGTAATTTAATTTTCCTTCACAGCCTAACATAAATTAGTGTGCCCTCCTGGCAGCTTAGACAAGACGCTCATTGAGAGAAGTCGAGTTATCACGTACTACCATTCCTCTTGGCTTCATCTCTACGTGCTCGCAGTCAGTCAGTGTCGTCTGACAGCTGAGGAAAGAGAATCCGTCCCGGTCATGACTGTAACAGCTGACTGACTAACATGTCCTACACTATAACTAACCACATGTGAGGAAAACAAAAAATGTGACATGCATTGTCTTAAAGGAAGTAATATATACCTAACAAGCGACTGGTTTAACGAAGACGCTGTGTGTTAGAGTTAAACCAAACCTTTTTTCTTGTTTGGTTTTACAGTCATCTCATTAAAATTAGGGTAGTAAGGGAAATTAGAGTTGCACAAAGTGACTCAGAAATGTAAAGCTTAAAATGGTCTAAACAATAATAGTAATCACCTGATGCTGACGAAATGTAATAGGTGGTTTGTTTTTCACCATTTCAACAGGTTGTAAAGCACCTGAAGACTGCTTCAGATTTGACAGTTTTGTGCAACAGAAGATTTAAACATCTTACTGAAATCTGACTGTCTATGTAAAACCAAATGGGATTGTCTCACCTCATCCAGCACATACGAGAATAGGCTTGATCAGAATTAGTGGGTATCAAGACAGGATCAAGGCATAAACAGCATTTTGTGTGTGTGTTCAAATCTAAATCTTGTGTTTTGAGTTTTAGTGACTGTTTTTGTTTCTGTTTTTTATGTGCACCACAAACATCTTGGTTTTAATTTGCAGATAGTATTACTGATTATTTCAGGACTTGGGACTATTTGGGACTGTGTATTGATTCATGCAAACATAGAAAGAGCTCAGAGGATTAGGTGTCTACAAACCAACCAAAACAGATCATATCTAACTTAACTGAAGTAAGGGAGACCTGAAGACTTATTTCACCACCGAATATTGCAATTACTGTGGTAAAAGCTAGTAGTAGCCCAACCATAGTTACAGTTTGCAACATTACCTTAAACAGGACTTACTTGGATTTGAAACAGTCGTCTGTAAGTCTTCATATGTGAAAGGCTGCTGTGTTAGTTGTCTGGAGATTCTTTCTTCCAAGTGGTAAAGCAGCGGGTCTGGAAACATCACATCTTGATTTCCAAGTACATTAAGTGGAGAAACAGTCCTCTGAAGGGATCTGCCACTTGGCTTTACAGGTACAGGAGACAGAGAGGTTGACCTTGGCTTCTGGACTGTAGATGCTGTAAAATTAATGTTCCTGAAGGACAGTGTTGTTTTCCAGAAGAAATTCTGTCTCAGGTCATTATCTGTGAAAAAATTCTCATATATGTCCGTAGAAATCGGCCTTGACTCGTGGCTGAACCGGGACACCACCCTCACGGGGCTGCATGTATCTTCATCATCAGATTCCACGGAAGAATCATCCGATGATGATGATGCGAAGAAATAATCATAAGCCTCTGGGAACTGCAGATTTCTATTAGCTGAGCGAGAGTAGGAAAAGATGGGAACTGGCTTGTCTTGGGCCTTATCTTCAGCTGTGATGAGAGGGTAGAAGAAAGTTTCTGTATCAAACTCAGAGAAAAAGTGATCATATGTTTCAGGGACAGAATCTCCATCAGTGTAGAAGGCGGTCATGTTATCTGTCGCTGATTGACTGGGGGCGGATTGTTTTCCTCCGAAGAAGTACTGAAATATATCTATGAGAGAGATGCTGTATGTGTCTGACAAGGAGGCAGCGTCTCTTCCTTGCTTAGGCACAAATCCCTCAGAGAAATACTCTGATTCTCCTTCATCTAAGGTTTGCAAAGTGTCACCTTTCCTTCTGTAGCTGAAAGAGTCAGATTCCAGGGCATGTAAATTTTGCACGCTGACATTTTTGTAAATCTTTCTGAGGCCCTGCTGAGCCGTTTCAGAGATGACAGTTTGGGAAGTGTCAGCCACGGATGTCAACATCATATTCTCCGGGTAAATATCGGCCTCTCTGCTCACGGAGACAAGTTCACTCTCCCACATCACACTTCTTGAAGGGGAAGAATGTAAACTTGATTCTACAGAATCAAGAACGCTGGATGTTTCCTCGTTGGTTTGCTCAAGTTTGGACTCATCCACTTGAGTAAAAAAGCCGGAATCAGTCATTGCAAACAGGTTTGTTTCCTCACTTTCCTGCAGAGGCGGGAGGGCTCTTTTGTTGGTCATTCGCAAACCCAAAATGTCATTTATTGTCAGCTTCTCCATCTCTCTCCAAAAAGAAGACATGGCAAACACAGAATTTGGTTCCTTTTCAGGTCTGCGTTCAGCTTTGCATGCTGTGAGGGTATCCACTGTTCCACCCAGTAAGTCGCATTCTGATCCTGGTTTGCTTTTGAGTTCAGACGTAACATCTTCTTCCTTGTGTTTTGCCAAGATTAGTGTCTTTTTTTCTCCTTGACATTCAGAATCATGCTCACTGACAGATGAACAAGAACTAACTGACATGTCAGTGATACTTTCATTTGAGAGCGACGTGAGAGATTCTATGTCCAGAGTACAGCAGGAAGATACATGTGTGATTTCTGAAGGACTTGTCAGTAAGTCTTCAGACAAGGACGATTTGGTTTCTGTCTGACTGTTACTTGTTAAAACCTGTATTTGTGATGCTGCGAACTGAGCACTATCCTCTTTAGAGTTTATCTCTGATAAAACATCGCATTTGGACAAAGGTTGAACCTCTGCACAAGAATCTATTTGATCTACTGTATTATTTGTATCTAAACTTGAGGGACTTTTAGACAGACAGCTTTTATCAGGCAAAGCATTAATACAATCTGAAGTCAAATTAGTGGAAGTTACTTTATTGGAAACCTCATCTCGGAATGGACACGCTCCGGTTTCAAACTGTTGAGGTTTTGTATTAAGAGCGTGAGAAATAATCCCAGCAGTTGCAGACGCAGAAAACTGAGTCTTTTCCAGCGGGGTGCTATATTGGTCTGTGTTGTGACAGTCCATTTCCAGCTGTTGTTGGGGCTCAGCCTCCTTTTGACACAGTGTGTGCTCTTCTCTGCCAGAATTTCCAGCCTCTCCGGCCAGGACTGTCATAGCAGCGGATAGTTTGTCATTTTGGCTGACTTCCACAGCAGGAGCATTTGACTCTGCACGCGGTAAAAGACTGCGAGCTGCTGATTCGACCTCTGCTGGAGAACATTTTGGATTTTGTTCCTTTTCACAACCAGTGACAGAATGTTCTCTTTCATCAGACTGCTGGAGAGCCCCTGTGTTTTCATTCTTGCTTTGATTTTCTCCAGCCATGCCTGATTTACCAGTTACACCGCCAGCAATTGAAACTGGGCGCCCAGAATATGCATTCGGTCCAGCAGATTCTTCTACCTGTAACTTGCTGCGAGGCTGTGAATTTGTTGTTACATTGGCACTGCTGTTTGGCACAGACATCAAACTGTGATCAGTTTGACTTAGTGGGGTTACTGACCTATTGCTAGCTGAAATGTTTTCAGCGGAGCCTGTTACTGTACACCTTTTCTGTCTAACTACGCTTTCTGGCAAATACTGGTACTGACTGTCATGTGGAAGAACAGAGTGGGAAAGATCACTTACTTTTACATTTTTAGCAGATATATTTAGCGGGAAATTGTTGGTAACTGAATATGGAGTAAAGGGTATTTTTTGTGGTTCATTTAAATAAAATGAATTAAAATCCTCAGATACACACTGACCTGCTCCTCGTCTCAAAGCATACCGCTCCTCTTCTGAATCACTCTGCTTAACCGAACCCTGCCTCTCATAAATATTCCCCCCCTCACTCTGCTCCACACTGAGTCGTCTCTTCTTTCTCTTTTTCCTTTTGATGGAGGCAGATGGAGATGATTCTTGGCTCGCTGCTTTGTTTGTACTTCCTGTATCTGACTGTAAAACATTAAATGTTTGGTCTTCCCTCCATTTAACATTTTCTAAAGTGAGAGGTGCCAACAAACCTTCCTGCTTTACGTCATCCAGAGGTGTGCGCGTTTCCACATTGTAAGCGTGAGCCGTTGTTTCTGAGCAGACGTCTGGTGAGTCATGAGACTGATGTATTACCTCATTTACTTTGGTTTCTGCGCAGGTTTCCTCTCTGATGAATAACTCTATTGCAGCTGATTTGTTAGTCTTGAGCTCTGAGTTATCGACTGTGGGTTCTGGAGAAATGTTGGACTCAGCCTCGACTTTTTTCATTGTGTTTATGTTCCTGATGGTGTCGAGAGGCCTCGCCGTCTCTTTGCCAACTGCTGCTTCACCCCTGGCAGGCAGAGAGTTTAACTTGGGGATGTTTTCTGGCAGAGCACTTTCACTGGCATGTTGCCCATCACTACAGCGCTCCTCCTCTCTGATTTTTCCATCTCTCTCTTGGCTTGGCTCTGAGGGCTGCTCAGCCTCTGTGAGACTTTTCAGCTTTTCAAAGAAAATATTGACAGACTGCAGGTGTAAGTCCTCCTCGCTGCCCGAGAGGACGCTCTCCATTCCACTGGTGCTGTGTTTGCTGAGGTAATGCTCCACAGGAGAGCCCTCGCAGTGTGGGGGTCCATCAATGGGGCGGTCAGCTTCTGAAAAGCCTGCTGTTAGCTCCACTCTCTGAGCTCTTCTAGCAAGAATGGCTCCTGTATCATCAATGTCACTCATCCCTGAATCATCCACACCTGCTAATGAAGGAGGAAGCAGATTACACTCCTCGCATTCTGCAAAGAAGCGTTCCCAGTCACGGTCACAGATCTCCACGCTGTATTCAAAGTCATCCATTTTTGACTCGGGCTCAAAACAATCTGCAGAAAATAGAATAAAGCAGCTTTAATATAAAATGAATCACTTTTAAAAGTAGATGTATTACTTTCAGGTAGTTTTAGCATCATAGAGTTCTTAATGCAAATGCAGTGAATATCAAAATCAATCAAAAAACAGAAGTGAAACCTTCATTATCCTTTTTTTTAAATTACTTCACAATTGTCCCTCTATTTACTGTTAATTGTTCGGGTTTGGGTTGTTATTTGAGAATATGATTTCTAAACAAAAATTTTAAAAAATACTCAATATTGTAAGGTTCAATTTAGAATATATTTGGTGCTTCTGGTTGCATTGTACCATTCACAGCTGGGGGAGTCAGTACAGCCAGCTAAAGGCTCAGTCGCACAACCAGTAATTTAACAACTACACTATGTTAGGCATTAATAAAATGCTAGGAACAATACATCCATTATCTATACACCACTTAATCCTCACTAGGGTCGTGGGGGGCTGGAGTCTATCCCAGTTGACTCAGGGTGAAGGCAGGGGACATCCTGGACAGGTCACCAGTCTATCACAGGGCTACACTTAGAGACACAGAATCGAGCACATTCACATTCACACCTACGATTTAGAATCACCAATTAGCCTCAACATGTTTTTGGACTGTGTGGGAGGAAGCTGGAGAACCTGGAGAGAACCCACGCCCACGAGAGAGAACATGCAAACTCTACACAGAAAGGTTCAGGATCTTCTAGCTGCGAGGCAACTGTGCTAACCACTGAGACACCTTGCAGCCCAACAATACATCATCTATAATATTATTATAATGATGTTGTCTTTCTTTACTGTAATTGTTAAATTCATTCGATTCTGTTCAGTTGAAACAAAAGGCTCCAGTCTGTGAGCAAAGTTCACTTATGTCTCCAAACCCCACTAAAATGTAGTAGCACATAAATTGTTGCATGGTCAGATGTGCTACGTAGATAATGTGACTGCACCACTGGGTCCGTGGCTGGCTGTGGACTTCACCCTAATGGCGCTGTCCAATCACAAAACCAAAACAAAATTTTAATATGAAGTAATTTTTTATTTATTCCTGAAGCAACAACCACAATGTGAATTAAAAATTGAACTGTGAGACAATTATGCATTTGCGAGATAATTAAAAAATTGATAATGAAAGTTTCAGACTAATTTTTCTGCAAAACATTACATGAGCTTTATTACAAGCATGGATGCTAAACCCTAGAGTTGAATAAGTAAACTAAATCAACAAATTAATAAAGCCACTAATGCAATTAAATAACACATATCGATTTTACCAGTGCGTTATTGTAGCACAATTTAAATGATGTAACTTATATAAATATAATGCAACAACTTGCTACAATATCTAGCAATGTAGCACAATACAGTATAATATAGCATAGTGTGAATGTCTTTTTGTTTCCCTATTGCTAATTAAACTAACTTAAAATATTTAGAATGAAAACAGATAGTAATAGTATTATATATACACCCACACATATAAAGAAAGTATTAGGTTCTTTTGTATTTTTACCCGCCTTATTGTGCTTGTACATCCAAACATGCTTCCTACCTGTTCTGCTTCAGCTGTGGTCCTGGTCTGTAGGAGATGAAGGTCAGTGTCCCACCAAGCACCATGCTGTATGCTCTTTGGTGGGCGTGCTTGTGCGTGCAGCACGGCATGCCCCATGATTTGATAAATATAGAGTGGTACTTCTGATCACGTAATACACACAGTGTTCTTACAGCAGCAGACTCCGACAGAGGTATAACATTTCAGAACTTTAAATAGTTTCTCCACTAGGAAACTGCTAAACTGGTTACACTGTAGTTTTAGTTTTACTATTGTTGGGTTCGGAAGCATATTGCTGAAATCTGTGTTAAAAGATATCTACATGTTTGTTGTGGTTCAGTTTTATTTATCAGGATTTGTGATCAAATAATCAAGAGCTCTAAACCCAGCATTGGCTACAGTAACATTTCTGGCAGCAGCTACAACAGTAGTGCCTCAGCAGATATGGGTGTCATGTGAGGTGTATGTCAGTCAGCTGATACCTCACTGGTGCGTCATTATGGGATGACAGAGGAGCTGAATCTTTCCCATGGCGGAGAGATTCCAGACACTGCAGGACAGCCTTAGAGGAGAAACTGGAGCTCACATGAGACTTGTGACTCTTCTGAACCTGAACAGCAGAAATAAAGACAATAAATAAATAAATGAATCATGTTTATCCCATTTGAGAGGGTAGAAATTTTGATCTTTCTAAAAAGACAAACTTAGTTTTTCTCATTGCTCATAAAACAAACAAAACAAAACTTGGATCACCTCCATTATTGGTGTGTCTTGATAATTTAAGCTGTTAGTCTAAAAATTTTAATCATGTCAATTTTTTAAAAATATTTTAATGAACATTTCAGTTTGTGATGGAGGTTAAATGGTCGAGCAAAGTGTACAGAAATGTGTGGGATTTTGGCACACAAATCGACTTTGTGCTCTGTGATGTTTTTGGACCAGTTTTGATGCAAAAATGTGGAAAAGGTATTCCCTAAATCAATTCAGACAGTTTAAAGTACAGTTACCTGTGTGTGCCTATCTGTTCATGTGAAGGAGCATTTCAGACTTGTGCCACAAAGCACATGAACTCACAGTGAATTCAAAAACACGGTTTCTAATTCACCAAAAAAATGACAAAATTACAAAAACCAATGCTAAATTCCGGCCAATGAAAGAGATCAAAAGAACAGAACTTAACTAAGGCTATGAGCCACAACATAACTAGTCACCAGCTGCACTGTTCCAATGAACTCTTAATGAAAGGGGATATATATATATAGTGGCTGATCAGACCAGGGGGCTGCAAGGTGGCGCAGTTGGTAGCACTGTTGCCTCGCAGCAAGAAGGTTGCCGGTTCGCGTCCCGGTGGGGGCACCGGAATCTTTCTGCGTGGAGTTTGCATGTTCTCCTCGTGCAGCGTGGGTTCTCTCCGGGTTCTCCGGCTTCCTCCCACACAGTCCAAAAACATGTTCAGGTTAATTGGTGATTCTAAATTGTCCGTAGGTGTGAATGTGAGTGTGCTTGGTTGTCTGTCTCTAAGTGTGGCCCTGCGATGGACTGGTGACCTGTCCAGGGTGTCCCCTGCCTTCACCCTAAGTCGGCTGGGATAGGCTCCAGCCCCCCCGCGACCCTAGTGAGGATTAAGCGGAGTATAGAAAATGGATGGATGGATGATCAGACCAGTTACACACAACAGGGGAAACACAAAACGCCAACACCTAAACTAACAACAAACAGCACAAAAAAGTACAAGTGTTCTACCTACTCAAACAAATCATTATAACCAAACCCAAAATATATCTAATCACCCAACACAAATCAAATGAATAACGTAATATTTAAATCAAATAAATCCTGTCCACCCCTTGCAGTGGCAGACATTTGGTGTGGTCTGATTGGCAGCTCTGGTATAAAAGCATGCTGCTCCCCTGGTATAATCTTTTGCCTGAATCCAGTCAGATGACCTCAGCCACAAACGACCAGATACTCCAGCACCGGTAACACAAATCAAAGATTAGCACAACTTAAAATAAACAATGCTGAACATACAACAGTTAACTAAATGTGCAAACTACAAATACAACTGAAGTACTTCTCCAAAGGCTAAATAAACTGAGTGTGTCTGATATTGTAAATTATGAGTTATTTGTGTTTTTGTATGTGCAATATGAGTGTAAAGTGTTTCAACTCAAACTAAAGTTGCTAGTTGGGGTACAAACTCTCATGGCTGGGATGCCTGCAAGTGCGGCCGTCATAGCCGTGTTCATGGATACATGAAGTCCTTGCGGATCTCAAAGGACACCTTTTGGTCGCCAGATCATAGACAAACCTCAAGTCTACAACTATAAATATTAGTGAGCCTTTAAAGAAGGCTTTTACTACAGCAAGGCACCAAATATGGAACTTGAAGTGTTTAAATGCCTTTAACTAATGGATTTTGGCCCAGTGGTGTAGCTCTTTTCTGGAAGTTAGTGCTTTAAGTGTCCTGATGGTTTCAAGAGTGAAGGATGTACCATTCAAATGAAGGTTTTCGCAATCTGGCAACCCAAAAAACTTACATTTTGCAATTGAATTGCTGTCTTAAGAAAACTTAAATTATGCAAGAATAGAAAGCAGCACCCAATATTCTGATGTGTTTTGCAGCTTTAACTTTACTGGACTTGTCCTGATATGTTCCTACTACTCATTTACATTTGCTATGACAAAGCAGTTAAAAGGAACATTCTGGGGAGCACTGAGACACATTTAAAGTCTTAGGCAGCTGAATTTACAGCACAGATGTCAGGATAAAACCAGAGTGCATTTTCTACATGAATGTGAAATCTGCCATTAGGGAGGGTGGCTTATCTGAGGAAGGCTTGAGCCTTTGTTTACAGCTATCAGTAAGAATTAGTAAAGACAATGTGATTACGGGGCCATCCTTGTTGTCGAAATGTCACTGACACTAAAAGACACCAAGATAACAATCAGCCCTGAGCTCATTATCAGCTGTTAAACTGCACTTAACAGATGCCTAATAGGCCTTAATTGCAGTTGAATGTACTAATTAATGATAAGTCCTTACTGGTAATTTAGAAAAAGCCGCTTGTTGACAGTGCTGGTATAAATAAACTAAAATAAAGTCTGTTTTTTCATCTATAGTAGGAATTTCGAAAACTTCAGCCAGCTCTTCCCCCCACAGTGTCACTCTGCAGAACTTGCGGTCAGCAGAATTTGCATCTCACACTTTCACAGGCTGTAACTGCAGCCTTTATTTGCCTAATTTTCATCACTATAGATATTTCTGAGAAAACAGACCCTCTAATTAGCCAAACCACAGCCTGGGCTGCATGCCCAAGAGGGTCCTCTCAATTCATCAGCTGTAATAAAGGGAGACAAGCCAGGGCCTGTGTGGCTGCTGCACCTGGGGCAGCGGGCCGCTTTGACACGGGTGGGATTCTGTTTCCATCAACAGGATTAGGCTCTTATGAGTCAGTTTTGTGGAGTTAAGATTGGAATCTTTCACAGCCGCTAATGCGACAGAATATCTCCCTAATTGTTTACCACGTCAGCTTTGGCAATTCAGCGTTAATTAAGCAAAGTCCTGTAAACAGAAGCATTCAGCAGCAGCAGCAGCAGCTCGGTGGCATGATGTTTAAACAGAGGAGTTTGTCCCGTCACCAGCCATCCTTGGTTGGTGGCATCTTTTGTGTCAAACAGGGGTGCAAAGTCTTAATTACAGCAAAGCGTAGAAAACCGAAGACAAAGATTTGTGTTTTGGACCTCAGGAGAATGTTTAGAAGGCATACAGGCTGTTTAGCAATTTACCACACAGGTTGATGGAGCTGCTTAAAGCAGGGCTTGACTGAAGAGTTAGAAATGAGTAAACAATGTGGGGTAATGAGAGAAAACAGTTCAATTAAACAATACATGAGTAAAAGAATGAACTAATTCTTAGAAAGCAGGTAGTGTTTAGCGATGTTGGCAATCATTCTCCAGCTTAGGTACTATACACCATTTAAGAAGCTGATTTAACAAGCTCCTGT